GGTTTTTCGGAAAAAACCACAGAGGGGAAAGAAGAAGAAAAATTTAGCTTCAAAATCGACCTCTCGCTCAAGGTCACAAACACGCAGGACATTTTCCAAAGGCCGATCTCAATCTCAAAACAATTCATATCGCCCACCTTCCACAACCCGTGGGCGCTCCAGATCTCGACGACCCAATGTCGGATTCTAAATTATGGACCAAAATTTATCCCAACACCAACCCCATCTCAACGCCAAGGACTAACGGACATGGACTCTCCCTTAATGAAGGAATCACTTGCATATTTAAATAGACGTTTTAACCTCTTTTTTGAATTTGGAGCAGGTGGAGAAGTTAAAACTGTAAGGATTCCTAATCCAAACTACCAGCCCAACCAACACCCTCTCACAACCAATTTTATAAACACTTTAAAAAGGAAACTAGTTTGTCCCTATACCCCAACGCCCCATTATAACTTTACTTTAAGAGAGAAAAAAGCTTTAAGAAACCTAGTAGAAAACAAAAATTTGGTTATTACCCAAACAGATAAAAACCTAGGTTTAGCTATTATTCCGTATAAGGAATATATTAAAGCTATACAATATCTACTCCCTCTTGAGGATTATGAAGAAATTAATTTACCCGAAAAAGAGGTTATTCTGCTTATTCAAAGAAGAATTTTCGATTTACCTATGACAGATAAGCAGCAAAATTTCTTTATCCCAGATGAGGCTGAGTTACAACTGCCTTTCTTTCACGCTTTACCAAAAGTGCATAAAAACCCACTTAAATGGCGTCCCATAGTAGGAATGCACTCAGCACCTATAAAAAGGCTATCGGTTTTTCTCTCGGAGATTCTTAAGGATTGGATGAAAAGGCTAGAACTTCACTTTAACTTGGAATGGATTCCAATTAATGATAATTTTCAACTTATATTGCAAATTGAAAATTTAAACCAGGAATATAACCAAGTAGCAACAGGTGACTTTGAATCATTATATACAAAGTTTACCCATCAAGAGATTCTTTCAGCCTTTGATTACCTTAATGAATATGCTTTACCAGTTGAGCAATTTTTTGGTTTTAATAAACCAAAAATTCGGTTTATCCTAGGTCTAGTTATTGGAAATAACTATTTTAAAGCTCTAGGAAAAATCTTTAAACAAAAAAACGGTATAGCAATGGGGACTAATGCTGCAGTTCATATAGCACAACTTACATGTTTCGCTCACGAACTTGTAGCTTTAAGGAATGGACTTTTTAGCAAAGTCTTTTATAGAAGATATATTGACGATATTATTATATTTTTTAATAATGATGTCAACCCTACAGCTTTTTCTTCTATTTATCCTAATCATCATAATATTTCCTGGGAAATTTTAAGCAACGGTAAAAAGGCTAACTTTCTAGAT